TTTGGTTTTTGGTTTTTGGGGTTTTTGCCTTTTTTTTTTTTTTTTTTTTTTTTTTTTTTTTTTTTTTTTTTTTTTTTTTTTTTTTTTTTTTTTTTTTTTTTTTTTTTTTTTTTTTTTTTTTTTTTTTTTTTTTTTTTTTTTTTTTTTTTTTTTTTTTTTTTTTTTTTTTTTTTTTTTTTTTTTTTTTTTTTTTAATGAACCAGGATCTTAATTTTGATGAGACTTGCTGTCAGTCAGTAAGAGATAGTACATCAAAGAATGATTATACTTAAGCTTGTATGTTACTCCATTAATAGACTGATTTTATTGTTGTTTTTTTGCCTGCTAATAAATCTGGCTTTTGTAAGTAAGTAAGTTAATTGTTGTGTAATTTGAATCGATATTCTCAGAAGCTGCGTTGTATTTTCATAGCGCATTAAATCAAGAACAAGAGGTCAACAGAGCTTTTAGCCTGATGGCAGTGTCAGCAAATGGCTTGTTTGTTCTTCCAGTCTTTTTTGGAGCTGCTCTCAGGTGGTGGGGAATACAAACAGCAGGTTATCATGGCATTGTCCTTGATTCTGGGCTCCTACACCTGGGTACATGTGTCCATTCTCACAGGCACACAAAATAAAACCCCTGTGTGGCTTTATGGGTTAAAAAGTGAAGAAGTTAATAGTGTCAGATCCCAAAGGGATTTGCCTCTGAGTGGTAATACAGGTTTACCTTCATAGATCCACCCAGCAAGCACAGTGCTTAACCTTGGATGAGTTGGCTCAGAAATTGGATTATCAGGAACTGGCACAATGAGAGACTCCTCCGTCCTTTACATCATTGTTTTCAGCCATGTGAAAGTGCAGTCATCTGCGTGGAAGGCAAAACTTCTTTTTGATGGCTTGTTTGTTTGCCATCAGTGGTCTCAGGAGCTTCATAAACATTCAGCAGTGTAGCCTTTCTGACTTCCATCTGGTACTTTAGCCCTCTTTTGCAGGAGTAAAAGCTAAGCCTTTGAGACTTTTAAAGTGGTGCTGATCTCGTAAGCCTAGATCATTTAATGATTAAAAATAAAAAGTAAATTCAGGTACTATACTTCTCATACAGATGCTCCTTTAAATTTGGTGATTTAAATGACTGTAAATATAAATTTAAAAATGTGTTATACATTTTAAAATGTGTAATATCTTCTGGTTCTTGAGAAAACAGATACAAAATAAGCAATGCAAGGGTTGGGCATAGGAGAGGTGTATGTGCAGCTTCCATTCCCTCTCTGTTTTAGCTTAAATTTTATTACAAGTTAAGGTCTTGGCTCTCTGGGAAATGGTGCATCCCCTCCCCATCCTGTGTATGGTCAGGTGTAGGTGTCTGAACTGACAGAGGCAGTGTGGAGGCAGAGATGAAGACTGCTCACATCCCTAAAATCCTTCTTTTCATTTTTGCCTTAATGGCCTCTCAAGAAGGGCTTCTGGATTTATGGGTTCTGTTTCTTCTCTGCTTTTCTGGCCTAACAAAGTCCTTGGTGTGCAGCATCAGCCAAGGGAGCAGGTGTCCATCAAGGTGGCTGAAGTTGCTCCAAGCCAAAGCATGTTGAAGAGCGAAAGGGCCATGGTAGACCACTGGTTCAACAGAAGGTTTAGCAGCTTCCAGCCCCTTTTTTAAGGGACCTGAATCTGTCCATGAATTTAATATGTCTCGTAGTCCCGATAGGACTGAAGTTGATGCTGACTTGCTAAGTCTTGTTAGTAGTTTTGTGAGGTCTGGTAGCTTGGAGTATGAGCAGTTGTTAGGATCCTGGCAAGCTTTAAAGAAGGAAAGTCAGAGATGGGGTCGCTTTCAGGTTCAGTGACAGCAAAGTGTGTGTTTTCTCTTTTGATACGAGCAACTTCCTTTGCCTGAGTCTCAAACAGGGTGCCTGAGTCTATTAATGAACCTTGCCATAGCGATCCTGTCAGAGCCTCCAGCTTGCTTAAATAAATCCTACTTATTTGTCATCAGAAGAGCATGTAGCTGTTTTCACTTGCAAAACAGCTGATTATCTATCCATAGAGCATCCTCCCCTGGCCCCAGTTAGAGGCTGAAGCTTATGTGACAATGCATTTTGTGAGTGAAGGGAGTGAAGGCTTGTTAATTGAGCATGTAAATGTGTAATTGACTGTACAATTATTCAATTGAAGGTTTTTTGTTTGCATACAAATATGAGAGCACAGTCATGCAGTTGAGCGGATTTTTTTTTTTTTTTTTTTTTTTTAAGCAGATCAGGTGCTGAAATAAATATTTGCATTAAGCAAACAGATGTGAGCACCCTTACAAAGATCAATCCAGCTGTGGTCACTTCCTCTTTTCTTTTGGTATGTGGATGTGCTGATTTGCAAAGAGTGGGTGATCTTCAGTTTTTTCCTGGCAGTTCTTGTCCGCTG